CCCAGTTTATCGTAACGCGAATATCATTTGATTTTGAAAATGGAAGGAAAAAACACCGTTCGCAGCGGGGAGAAACTATACACGTGTTGTATGTGTGGACAAGGCTTCAGCAGATCATCTACCCTGTTGCAGCATGAATACAGTCACACTGGGGATAGGCCATTCGTCTGTTCTGACTGTGGGAAAGGATTCACGCAAACATCCACCCTGCTGAAACCCCAGCAAGTTCACACAGATAGCAGACTGTTTAAATGCTCAGACTGTGGGAAGCTCTGGTGCCCTGAAGCTGCATCAACGTGTTCACACTGGTGAAAGACCCTTCAGTTGCTCTCATTGTGGGTCTGGATTCAAGCAATCATCTACCTCACTGAACACCAGCGGATTCACGCTGGGGAGAGACCATTCACCTGCTCAGAATGTGGGAAGACATTTGCTCGGAAATCCACCCTACTGAAACACCAGCAAGTTCACACAAAGGACAGACCTTATAAGTGCCCAGACTGTGGGACATGCTACAAAAGATCTGGGGACGTGATGTTGCATCAACGTATTCACACTGACGAGAGACCGTTCAGGTGCTCCCACTGTGGGACTGGGTTCAGGCGGTCATTCCAACTCACTGTACACCGACGAACGTACACTGGGGAGAGGCCGTATACCTGCACTGAGTGTGGGAAGGAATTTGCTCAGAAATCCAACCTGCTTAAACACCAGCAACTTCACACAGAAGAGAGACCTTTTCAATGCCCAGAATGTGAGAAGTGTTTTAAAAGGTCTGGGGACCTGATGTCACATCAACGTGTTCATAGTGATGAGAAACCGTTCAAGTGCTCTCACTGTGGGGCTGGGTTCAAGTGGTCAACCCAACTCACTGCCCACCAGCGATCTCACACAGGAGAGAGGCCGTACACCTGCACTGACTGTGGGAAGGGATTCACTGTGAAATCCAGCCTGCTAAAACACCAGCGAGTTCATGAGCATTGACAGTGACTGATTTTCGCTGTGAATAAATCCCCACTTCCTCGTGTTCCTCCCTCTCTGCCAGAACGTCTGGATGACAATGAAATAAATCCACTTTTTAAAATGTCTCATGTATGTTAGTACTCTTTATAGTGAGCTATTTTTGACTGCAGGAGTTGCGTTTTGTTGTTAATCGCATCCAGGACACAACAATGTTCAATGGGGTCTTTTTCTGCTGACCTTTATAAATTCCAGCCTAGTTATAGGTGTTAATGAAGGGTCAAAAAGACAATTATGTCACGTTTGTGGGAAACACATGGCCTGCTGA